CCTTGCTTGCCTGATCGCCCACAACTGCCCTCCCCTGCAGGCCTGGTCTCTCCCAACTGCCCTCCCCTGCTGGCCATCTTGTGGTGGCCATTTTGTGTCCACATGGGAGTAGCCATCATTGACCAATAGGGGCAGCCATCTTGTGTGTTGGAGTGATGGTCAATTTGCATATTACTATTTTATTAGATAGGAGAGAAGCCTGGTACATGGGTGGGGCTGTCTGGTCATCGGGAGGCATGGCCTGCCTGCAAACCACCACAGGTCCCTTGCCCAGGCCGCCTCATACCAAGGGAAACCCCTTGGTGTGTGAGGTGGCCTGCAGGGGAGGGCAGTCCCGGATCAGGGTGGGGGTTCCCTCGGTGTGTGAGGCGGCCTGGGCAAGGGACCTGTGGTGGTTTGCAGGCAGGCCATGCATCCTGATGACCCAAGCAGAGGTTCAAGAATCTGGGATTTATTTATCTTCCATAATTGAAACTTTGTAACCTTGAGTGGAGCCACAGCCATTTTTGTTGGGATTTATTTATCTTCTATAATTGAAATTTTGTAGCCTTGAGTGGAGGCCTAGGCTGGCCAGTGCTGAAAGCTTGTCTTCCACTATTACCAGGGAAACCGAAACCTCTTGCTTGCTCCATGGCTGCAGCCATCTTTGTTGAATTAATTTGCATACCCGCTTCTGATTGACTGGTGGTCGTGACTTATAGGTGTAGCGAAGTGATGGTTAATTTGCATTTTACTCTTTTATTTAGCCTCCATGTGTTTGTGTGTTTATAGTTTTTTCTTGTAGATTTCTGGTGTTATACCATTGTGGTCAGATAAGATGCTTGATATGATTTCAACCTTCTTAAATTTATTGAGACTTGTTTTGTATGTTAACATGTGGTCTATCCTAGAGAGTATTCTCTGTGCACTTGAAAAGAATCTATAAGAATGTATATATCCTGCTGCTTTGGGGTGAAATGCTCTGTAAATAAATCCATCTGGTCTAGTGTATCATTTAAGGTTATTGATTTTTTGTTTGGCATCAATCCATAGATGCTAATGGGGTGTTAAAATTTTCTACTAAGACTGTATTACTATCAATTTGTCCCATAATAATGTTTTCTTGAATGCATTCATTCTGCTTGCTGATTTGCTATCACCTCCCACCTTCAAGGAATAAGGACAAAGGGCTTTAATTAAACTAAAACAGTATTTACTATAATAATATAAAATATTCAGCAAACTTGTTGCAATATTGATCCTCCCAAACAGTAGCTATCTTTTGTTCTTGAATGTACCCTAGTTACTTTTCTAAGTTGCTTTCTTAAGGGAGCATAGTAAGTCTATTTGTGTTTTTGCTGAGTAATGAACTTGGCCCTCAGATGATGAGATCATATGGTTTCTCATCAAGTGTTACAGTATTAGCACATATTATTAGGTCTTACATAACTCAGATGTGGTCTCAAAGTATTAGTCTGGTAGTCATAAGTGCAGAATATCTAGTATCTTGCCTAGGAGTTTGTGGTTCACGAAGAGCAGTCAGAGATGTGGATGAAAACTCCACACTAAAATAAGTCTCCTTTTATGTTAGAAATTGACCACAACTGCCTGTTGTTCCAGTTATTTCAGTCTCTCACTTAATACTAAGCCTGTTTTTCAACCTTACTAAAGCTTCTTGTTCCTTTTTGCCTGCATTTTCTCCCATTTCATTAGCCCTCTTCTTCTATCCTGAACAGACCATTTCAATACCTCTCTCCCAACTTCGTGTTGCCAATATTCTTTCTTTAATTTTCTTGTCTTACCTTCTCTCATCCTGGCCAGTTGAACTTTCTACCTTTTGGACTGCTGAGCACAGCTAGGAAAACAGCACAGTCTTACTTTGTAGCCTCTCTGAGCTATCAGCACAGCCTACTTAATAATCGGCAACCTTTCTTGGGTAAATTCCTCAGTGAAATACCCTGTCATTCTCCTTATTTTGTAAACTTGCCTTCTATTTTACAAAGGAAATTTAGGATGTTAATCTCTTCCAGCTTCTCTACTATGCTCCCTCCACATGTCCTTATTCTCTTCCCTTTCTCCTCACAGCGGGGGGCATTCCTCCTCCTGTCAGAGGTCAGATGTCTCACTTTGGAACTCATCTTGAGTCTTCCCTTTGTCTTGATCCATCCTTTATTTCCCTTTTCTTTCCCTCTTTCCCTCCCTCTCTCTCAAATATTATTTATTTATTTATTTAACCATAGGAGCCTATGTTTGGTCATTTTTGGTCTGGGGAAATGGTTCATGTCCTCAGGAAAGCTAAAAATCACTAGGTTTGGAAGTGTAGTTCTGGGAAGACTACAGTTCCCAGAAAGCCTTCAATTAGGATTGGCTTATATCCCAACCACCTGCCTATGTCAAATACGGTTTGTGAAATCATACAGATAGTTTCCCAACTTTGACCATATGTAGTACCTAAAAGTACTCTACCCTAAATTTATTGAGCATATCTTGGCCTAATATTCATACTTCCACTGACTGCTGGGCTATAACTCACGGAGTGCCTGACTATATTTGTGAAGTGTTTGGCAAAAAGATTACTTATTAGAATGTCACCAGACAATAATGAATCTGGGGACTTACCGGTACCTGGATTCGTAGTACACGTGTTGTGGTAACATGTCTGGCATAAACAGAAGAGACCCCCCCCCCTCCAGGTTTTCAAAAGGGGATATGAAACAGCTTGCTAAACCAGCCAAGAGTAAAGGTGTCCTCTGTGTATCCCCATTGTCCCTTTTTCCTTTTTTTTCAAATTATAACCAAGTTTATTTAGAAAGTCACAGAGGTAGAAGTGAGCCAGATGGGCTGTAAAGACTCAGGAGACAAGTTACAGGGGCTTTGAAGGGCCCTGGGAGCTTAGGAGAGGCAAAGGCAAAGGCCAGACTTCTGGGAGGAAGAATGGCAAGGGAAAGGCTCTGGAGAGGGAGATCAAGTCCCCATTGCCCGTCCCCATCTCCCTCCTCTTGCTTGTTAGAGAAGCCAGGCCAGTCTAGAGTCCCAGAAACTAGAAAGCATCTATAGTTGGGAGAAGCACACGCTGTCCAGGTTGGGAATACAGCCACTGTCAGGAAGTTCAGATACTCCATTGTTTAACTAAAACTTGAGGGGACCAGGGTGGAGATCACACCCGGACCCAGGTGTCCCATGCCTTGGGTGCTCCCCCACCCAGAACTAAGACTAGGAATGGCAGGATACTGCCTTGCAGCCTCTAACTTAAGGCAGCCACTTCTACCTCCAAGGCCTGCTCTCTGGGGAAAATTTCCCCCTATATATTAACACCTTTCCTGACGTACTGATTACAAACCTGTATACATCTATGTCATCTTAAAACAGCAAATAACTCAAGTATCACATTTTCTTACTCTTTTTTAAAATACATGTTTTTATTGATTTTAGAGGGAGAGAGAAACATCAATGATGAGAGAGAATCATTGATTGGTTGCCTCCTCCACACCCTTTACTGTGAATCAAGCTTAGATCTCAGGAATGTGCCCTTGACTGGAATTGAACCCGGGACCCTTCAGTCTACAGGCCAATGCTCTATCCACTGAGCTAAACCAGCTAGGACTTCTTTATATATTATTTAATTTCAGAGAAAGGTTCATAGGTTGACACTCAACCACTGAGGCACACCAGCTGGGTCTTTTTCATCTTAATATTTATGCCTGCCAGACATTCTTTACCTTTGTTTAGTACAGTTTATTCAGCTTACAGAAGATTTAGAGCACCTACTGTGTGCTAGATGTGTTAGGCATGGGCAGTGCAAAAAGGAATAAGGTTCATTGCTGTTGGAAAGGAGCTTCTTATGTAGGGAAGAAGGTAGATAAGAAAACAATCTACCACAGTTTCTAACTAAGTAAACACTGAAAGATGCTGATACTGGGATGCCCAGAGTGCTTGGGGGGGGGGGGGGGGTAAGGAGGGAGTGGGGTAGGGTGGGGAGAGCAGTTTACATAAAAAAGTATAATTTGCCCAGTTGGGTGGAGTCAGAGAAGGCTTCCTGAACCCCACAGTACTCTGGGTTAAATCTTGAGAAAGAAAAGAAGCATAAGGGTGTGAGAGAATAAGATACTCAGTTTCATATGCCTGGATAGAGCTTGAAGCAGAGAGGAGGAGAGTTTAGTCTAGACCTGTAGACAGGGACCAGACTGGGAAGAACCTCATGGCATAAGCTCTGAATTTTTTCCTGAATGTAGTAAAGAGCCACTGAAGAATTTTAAGCAAGTTTTCATCAAATTTATGCTTTTAATATTTGTAGCTTCTTGTTGCTTTTTTCAAATATTGTCACATTTATTCTCTTTCCTTTGTAAGGGACATTTTAGATTTTTCCTTTGTTTATTGGAGTGTTCTTATCGGTAACCTTCAGTGGAAAAGAAAGTTTAGATAGATCAACTATCAGTTTTGTCAATATTCTCTTTAGGTTATTGCTTGAATTTTGAGTTGTCTTTCTTAGTGAACTATTCCAAATCTGATTTTGTGTCATATTTACCAATGAACTCTAGTTTGGTAGAGTACATAAAGGGTACTACAATGAGTAATAAAAAATACCAGCCAAGTCAGAAGTCAAGCATCCTTTGTAAATTTATTAAAAAGGGACATGGAATTTCCAGTAAGCCATAAAAGATTAATTCCTTCAATTGCTTATTTAAATAGTGCTACATATGAGACCTTAAGTTGGTTTGTTTTTTAAGATAATTTAAAAATAGGCAGACCTTTGCAAATTAAACTAAATTTGATATTTTTGTGACGTCTACCTCACAAAATTATTATCATTATCATTGAGCAAAATTCACAAGCTAGTTGTGTGAAATCTACCTCTAGTCATATACTTTCTTGGGCTTTATTTTCCTCATTTAAAATAATTCAGGGCTTGTGTTAGATGATTTATAAAACCTTTTTTATTTTATGATTTTTATATCCTACATCTAATAATTTTTTTCTAATTATCTTTCATGTAGTGCTCACATGGTCTTCTGAAAGAAGCCATGGGTAGCTGTTGTAGCTGTCCAGATAAAGACACTGTCCCAGATAACCATCGGAACAAGTTTAAGGTTAGTAAAACTGCTTGAATTCTCTCTCTTATTGCCTACTTGGATATTCTTTTACTTCACTTAATATAACTTACTTTTTTCACTTTTATCTCCAGATCTTTATTTCCCTTTTTGTTCACTTTGATATTTTTTCACTAACAATTTTTTCACTGAAACTATCTTATACTTTCCCTTTGGTCCTCTGTATTTAATTAGCCACACAGTCCTGATATTACTTTCTTTAAGACACCATTTTATAGGTTCCTCTTTAGTCCTGTCGCCACCTCTACTCATTGATTCATGCCTGATAATTTCTTAACTGGACCCTACCTTGAGTCACCACTGTGATCCGTCCTGCAGTTGACATCAGATTACTCTTTCATCATTCTGAAATGTCTATGGTTTTCTGTTATCGAGAAGCTAAATGCTCCATTCCTTACTCATCCACAGCTGTTTTGTGTCTCTTGTAGTCTGGCCTCAATCTGCTATAAATTACAGCCTTTGGTTTGTACAAAGTTAGATGTAGGTCATAACCCTGTTGCTTCATAGCTTTGTGATCTTGGATTATCACGAAGTCTTTGTTTGATTTTTTTATAGTATTACTTGCAGTTTAGGAGTGTTATGAGGATTAAGTGGGAAAAATACATGTACAGCACTATCTAGTACCAGGGGTGTAGTAAATTCTCCCTAAGCAATATCTGTTCTTCACAGTCTCTGGCCATTTTCTGAAACTCAGTAGAACAAGGCCTTATCTGAACATGAACTTATTTCCCCAATAGGAATTTGAGTTCCTTGGCAGATATGAACTAGGTATTATATTGCTACCTAGTCCTACACACACATTGGTTGGTGAATAAACTCACAAAGGAGTAAGTAAAAATCAGCAAGTGTATTTTCCTGACAAATCGGTGAAATATGAGTATGACTATCAAATAAAAGCATTAAGTTGGCACTAATTAACTTTCTCTTTAGGTCATTAATGTGGATGATGATGGGAATGAGTTAGGTTCTGGCATAATGGAACTTACAGAGACAGAACTGATCTTATACACTCGCAAACGTGACTCGGTGAAATGGCACTACCTCTGCCTGCGACGCTATGGCTATGATTCAAATCTCTTCTCTTTTGAAAGTGGTCGACGATGTCAAACTGGACAAGGTAGGCAGAGCCTTTTTTTGCAAACTTTGTCACATTTGAAATACTAGTACTATTCTTTCAGTTATTCTATACACAGTGCTTAATATTTGATCTTCTTCTGGTAGAAAAAAATTATCTAAATAAGTGCCTCATTAAGAAAAGAGATATAGTAAACTAGTTACTTAGCAAGCATTTATTAAGCACCTTTTCTGTGTCCAGAATTTTGATTCATATTAACTTTAAGATGTTCTGTAAATGATTAGTCCCAGCCTAGTAAACAGAGTTATGTGTTTTTACTGTTACAACTTATTGGGTAAAGAAATTAAATTTTGGAGTCCAACAGTGCAAGTTTAATTATTTTGCTACCTACAGTTTGAAAGGCCATGGGCAAGTTATTTCTATTTTTCTCTTATCAGAGATGAAGGATAATCCTTGCCTTATAGAACTATTATAACGATTAAACATAACAGAGCCAGGCAGGGCCTGTCAAAAGGTAAAGGATCACCTTGGTAATGGTGAGTTGGGCTCCCCCTAGTGTTAAAAAGCAAATGAAGCAAGTGTGAAAATCTTATTTTTATCTGCCTTATTTTGGGTCATCTCCCTTAGACAAATGAAAATTATTCTGTGAACTTTGTTTTGGGTTTATGTTTTGAAATAGGGAATTTAAATAATTTATCAGACATTTATTTAAATGGCCTTTCTTGGTATTGGTACACAGAATGCTTATTTTATAATTGTATTCTTTAATAGGCGCTCCTGTATCTTTTTAAAAGATGTGGTAACCATTGTTCCCTTCTGGTTTATGTTTGTAGGAATCTTTGCCTTTAAGTGTGCCCGTGCAGAAGAATTATTTAACATGTTGCAAGAGATAATGCAAAATAACAGTATAAATGTGGTGGAAGAGCCAGTTGTTGAAAGGAATAATCATCAGACGGAATTGGAAGTCCCCAGAACACCTCGAACACCTACAAGTAAATACCCTTTTTCCTTCTTGTATTTTGATTAGCAGCCATTTATGGACTGTGGATATTTAATCTCTAAAATGTTAGAAATGTAAGAGTAATGGTTGTCAGTTTTAAAAAGCTATCAGCTATAATTATAAAGGTATTTAACATTTTAAATATAATCACATGAACTGTTCCATAGTATCTAAAATGTGAATGGAGTGTTGACATAGAGGTTGATGCTCACCACTGAGCAACACTGGCTAGGCCTCTCTTTTCCTTTTTATTAGTTATATATTTATCATTATCTAAATAATAAATCTGATTTCTGCTATATTTGCCAGAAACACCTTCCTTAAACCTGTCAGTGCAGATTGGATTCTCATTCATTTTTATTTTCTCTCCCCTGCCTCTGTATCCTGCTTTTCTTCTTAAACCAATAAACAAACAAAAACTCAGCTCCAGGGTTTGCTGCTCAGAACTTACCTAATGGATATCCCCGATATCCCTCATTTGGAGATGCTTCATCCCACCCATCAAGCAGGCACCCTTCTGTGGGAAGTGCTCGCTTGCCTTCAGTGGGAGAAGAATCTACACATCCTTTGCTTGTGGCCGAGGAACAGGTAAGCACGTGCTACTGTCTGACTTGTGTGGAGTTGAAGATTTTAGTCAGTTTGAATTTAGCTTTCACTGTGTAGGACTTTTATAGTGAAGAATCAGGAAATATCAAATATTTGTTGACATGTACTGAAATATGTGCAGGTGTTGAGAGAAACAGCATTAAAGTTTCTCAGGAGAGTGCATCTATAGACAAAGACAGACATAAGAGTGGCCAGTTCCCATTATAATAACCTCTAGTCAATTCAGAATTTATGCTACTGTTTATATTACAGTTTTTATAGTTAGTGGACTACTAGCAAGAAGGTAGATTTTGTTATCAATGTTTTTATAGAGCTATATAATATTCCTAATCTGTTTTTCATTTGAGGAATGAAGTATGTGGTTAAACATTATCTATGTATTAGTTATATATTTATCTTTTGTAAATCACATTGTCATTTATCCTTAAGAAATTTTTATTGTTTTAAAATTCATTTTTGTGTTCTTTACACAGAATATGAGTTCTTACATTATTTACTATAATTACATTTCTCTCAGTTTTGCATTTTATTTTTGAGGTGTTCAAATTTTATGTATTTTGTTTTAAAAAATATATTCTATTGATTTTTTACAGAGAGGAAGAGAGAGCAATAGAGAGTTAGAAACATCGACAAAAGAGAATCATCGATCAGCTGCCTCTTGCACACCCCCTACTGGGGATGTGCCAGCAACCAAGGTACATGCCCTTGACCCAAATCGAACCCGGGACCCTTCAGTCCGTAGGCCAAACTCTATCCACTGAGCCAAACCGGTTTCGGCTACTAAATGTTTTTTATATTGTCTCTCCAAATACCGTTGAGCTTTTCATTATAATTTTAGTGATTATTTCTTAGTAGGTAGTATTTATTTTATGTCCATGCATTTTTCAGAAGTCTTATTAAATCTAGTAGGGTTTATTTTTTTTATATAGTCAAATCATTGTAAATAATGATAAGTTTGTCTCTCCCTTTAAAAAAAAATTAATTTCTTGATTTCAGAGAGAAAAGGAGAGGGAGAGGGAAAGAGAGATAGAAACATCAATGATGAAAGAGAATCTTTGATTGGATGCATGTGCCCTAACTAGGAATCGAACCATGAACTCCTTGTGTTCATAGGCCAGTGGTCAACCACTTAGCTACACTGGCTAGTCCTATCTTTCCTTTTTAATATTTATTTATGAATCATGAAAATTTCTAGAGACCACCAAAATGCTAACCCCTATTTATTCCTGGTGTTATTTTTTTAATAAAATTTTTTTTCATATTTCACTATCAAGTATAATGTTTCAAGTTAGTTATTATTTTATCAAATTAGGAAAGTACATTTATACACCCCTTTTTATTAGTGAAAAGTAGGTACAAAAGTTTCAAAGACAGTATTTTTTTAGACAAAAAGTTAATAAAATTAACTGAGAAGATCAGACATAGTTTATATATTTACTAGAGGCCCAGTGCATGAAATTTGTGCAGGGGTAGGTATATGTCCCTCAGCCCAGCCTGCACCCCCTCTTATCTGGGTGGTCGGACATCCCTCTCACAATCCAGGACTGCTGGCTCCCAACTGCTCACCTGCCTCTGCTTGATTGCCCCTAACCACTTCTGCCTGCCAGTCCAGTCACCCCTAACTGTCCTCCCCTGCAGGTCTGTTCACCCCTAAGTGCCCTCCCCTGCAGGCCTGGGTCTCCCCCAACTGCCATCCCTTGCTGGCCTGGTCTACCCTAACTTCCCTCTTCTGTTTATCTGGTCACCCCTAACTGCCCTCCCTGATGGCCTGATTACCCACAACAACTGCCCTCCCCTGCAGGCCTAGGTTTCCCCGCCCCCAAACTGTCTTTCACTGCAGGCCTGCTTTCTCCCCCTCCCCCCTACCTACTCTCCACTCCAAGCCTGGTTCCCTCCAACTGCTCTCCCTTATAGGCATGCTCCCCCCCAACTGCTTTCCTCTGCAGTACTGGTACCCCTCCAACTGCCCTCCCTGCTTATCTGGTTTCCCCCTACTGCCCCCTCTGCCAGCCCAGTCACCTCTAACTGCCCTTCCTGCTTGCCTGATCGCTCCCAACTGCCCTCCCTGCAGGCCTGGTCCCCCTCCCCCAACTGCCTTCCACTGCAGGCCTGGGTCATCCCCCCGCCCAACTTCTCTCCCTTCCTGGCCTGGTTATCCCTAATTGCCATCTTGTGGCAATCATCTTGTGTCCATATGGGGACGGCCATCTTGTGTCTTGGAGTGAGTCAATTTGCATATTACTCTTTTATTAGATAAGATTTAAAAAACATATTTTTATTGATTTCAGAGACGAAGAGAGAGAGAGAGACAGAAACATTAGTGATGAACCCCTGCCCCCTTATTGGGGATTGAGCCTGCAATCTGGGCATGTGCCCTGACTGGCAATCAAACTGTTACCTTATAGGTCAATGCTCAACCACTGAGCCACACCCTGGCTGGGTATTTTTATTGTTTTAAGCAAGTTATTGATTCACTTTCTTGTTTTAGGTACATACCTATGTCAATACTACAGGTGTGCAAGAAGAGCGGAAAAATTGTGCAGCTGTGCATGTCCCCTTGGAGGCGAGGATTTCTAATGCTGAAAGCAACACTCCAAAAGAAGAACCAAGTAGCATCGAGGACAGGGACCCTCAGATTCTTCTTGAACCTGAAGTAGTTAGATTTGTCTTAGGACCAACTCCTGTTCAAAAGCAATTAATGGAAAAAGAGAAAATGGAGAAAATTGGAAGAGATCAAGTCAGCGGGAGTGGTGCAAATAACACAGAATGGGACACTGGCTATGACAGTGATGAGCGAAGAGATGCACCCTCTGTTAACAAGCTGGTGTATGAGAATATAAATGGGCTATCTGTCCCTAGTGCCTCCGGGGTCCGGAGAGGTCGTCTGACATCCGCCAGTACCTCAGACACCCAAAACATCAACAACTCCGCTCAGAGAAGAACTGCATTATTGAACTATGAAAATTTACCATCTTTGCCTCCTGTTTGGGAAGCCCGCAAACTAAGTAGGGATGAAGATGACAATTTAGGACCAAAGACCCCATCTCTAAATGGCTACCATAATAATCTAGATCCAATGCATAACTATGTAAATACAGAGAATGTAACAGTGCCAGCAAGTGCTCACAAAATAGAATATTCAAGGCGTCGGGATTGTATACCGACAGTCTTTAACTTTGATATCAGACGCCCGAGTTTAGAACACAGGCAGCTCAATTATATACAGGTTGACTTGGAAGGGGGCAGTGACTCCGACAACCCTCAGACTCCAAAAACACCTACAACTCCTCTTCCACAGACCCCTACCAGGCGCACAGAGCTGTATGCTGTGATAGACATCGAGAAAACTGCTGCTATGTCCAATTTGCAGAAAGCACTACCACGAGATGATGGTACATCTAGGAAAACTAGACATAATAGTACTGATCTGCCTATGTGAGCCTGGGAAGCATTACATTGTTTGCACCTTTGTGAACTTAAAAAAAATGAAGATGCAAGTACTTCATTTTCATTTCTAAACACTAACTCCTTTTATAGACTGATGTGGTTTTTTTTTTTTTTTTTTTTTTTTTTAATATTTCATGTGCTTAACTAAAGGGAATTAATGTAGAGCAGGTACTCATTAAAGAACACTAATTTCATTATATACAACTCATTACTGTACAGCAGCACTCCTATTTTCACAGTGCCTATTTAAAATGAGAGTTGAAGTGAGTGACATGCTGGTTGATTTTTATCAATATTCTGGACTTATGCATATCATTCATGCCTAAGTCATGGTTGGCATTTCAAACATTTTATAAAGCCTCTTGATAATGTGCATTGCTAACAGATAACTCTAGGCTTTGAAAGTAATATTTGTAGATTCACTGTTCATGGTACGTGGTGTTCAGCATGTAACATGAAGAATCCTTTATTTCGTTAATTGTAGGCTTTTTGACTTGAGCCAAACCATAGGTCAAGGAAATAGAAGTACCACACTCCTTATATACCCGTCAGCTCCTTTGCCTTCATCTTACTATTATAGAAAGAGTCCTGTGTCCATGAATAGGGTTTGCTATTGGTGTGTTGAAAGGCAGGGAAGAAGATAGTTCTGTGTTTATTCATCTCATGAGGTCTTTGGAAGGGCATGCCCAGATATCTTAATCAGAATTACAGTAGGCTCAAGAATCAGTCTCAGGTCACTTTATCCAAAAGCATTTGAAAATCTGAACCATGATCTTTTGAAAGTGTGTCTCCTATGGATTATTGACAATAACATTGTTCTGGAGGCATTTGTGCCATTAGATTGACACTCACCTTCAGTTTTTCTCCTTTGGTGTTTGGGATGTTGTATTTTGTTGCTTAATGTCTTTTTCAATTTAAAATGTTTGAGTTTGTATATAGTTTTTAAATTGGATTATATGTTTATTATTGTTTAGTTTGCATTTTTGTCAAATTGTGGTTTTGAAGGTTCATTTAGAACTTACTGTTATTCTATAACAGGGTTGCCCTTGTCCAGTATTTATTTATATGCTGTTTACTTTTCAAGTTGTTGATAAAAACATTCTCTCAGTTTTAAATTTTACTTGTGTCCATAGGTGATCTTTTTAGCAGCTGAGGAAAAAAAAAAAAAAAAAGGAAATTACTTTTAACATACGAAGTTCCCGAAAGGTACTATTTTCTCTTGGGCACTCTCCCCAGCACTTTAGCAGCGATTCCCTCAAGTCACTTGGCTGCAGTTACACTTTGCCCACTGCAGTGCTCCTCAGCTCTGCTGTCCTTTCACTCCTCGCTGGATCTTTGATTATCCCTGATTTCAATGGAATGTTAAGGTTATTGCCAGCATAGCAAGTACAGTGGAAGTCATGTAGCAATAAGATTGTCATAATTTAGGATTTAAAATGAATTGAAACTTATATAAACTGACGAGAGGTCATATGTCCAACTCTTGGAAATCAAGAATGTTCCAGTTTCCCAAACACTAGAGAAAACAAGAGAAGGTAGAGTGAAAAGAAGGTTAGGTAACCTTGCAAAATATTTTACCGTTTTCTCTAAATATGAGGAAGTTTGAAATTATGATCTGTATCTACCAGATGTAACTAAGGTTAAGTTAGCATGAAAAAGTTTCAGTCATATAGCATCCAACCTGTTCAATAAAAAACCAATTATAGGACAGTGAATGGATTAGGAAAATTATTAGAATGGGACCATTATAAAGAAAATAAATTATTAAAGATGTTTATTATTTTCAGTGCCATTGGTTTATGTGCATAGCAAATCTCTTCTCTTTTTTTCTGTGAACTTGGTGCTTACTAAAGTGTTCACTATTCTCTAAAAAGAGAGCAGTGGTATAGGTGTGCAGTTTCCATTTTTAATATATTGCATTTATGTTTTCTTCTGAGTAGTTTGCTAATTGTGCCAAATTTATGTGATTTTTGTAATGTGGAATAAGAATTATGATGGAATTAGTACGCATGGTTTTTTCTGAAATAAGCAGTAGAGACAGAACATTAACCTCCAAATGGAAGGGCTGACCTATTTATTCATTTTGGAGGTTGGATACTTCATTTTCTTTTTCTCATCCTTTTCATTTTCCCTTCCAGATTCTAATTAGTTTTTATATTTTTTAGGTAACTCCAATGTAATCATCGCAGTTTATGCTTTAATAGTGTGTGCTTTAAAAAAGAAAATGGGACCAATTTGTCTGCTAAGAATTTGAATTTAGGTACTATGAGTATTAGGAAGATGTACACATAAAACTGGTGTTAATTTCTAGACGGCTCTGGAAATCACCTGTGTCCCTATTTAATAAAAAGTAATGTAGAACACTCCTTTTCCTTTGCAGTAGTCTAGTAATGGGCATTAAGCTCTATCCTGGAAGAATGTACCTATTACTAGGTGCATTTTAGAATGAGTTATTTTATTGGGATATAATTGTGGCCATATGTTTCAGATTTTCTGAGACAGACCTAATTTTAGATATTCTGTTCTGTTGCTAGACTGTGATCCTACTTTTCAGTTTTGGAAATATAATAATTATTCATATATTTTCCTAAATAGAATCTTCTTTTATCATTATAGATCATAACAGCTTTTATCCCAGACCAGGGTTGGAAACATGGATATTGACTGTGTTTGTTTTTTTTTAGTACGTTTTAATTTCCCAGTTTCATCTTTCTTTAAAAATGAAATTATGGTGCCTTTTCTCCCTCCAGGAAGATTGGCAAATAGTTCTTTTATTTACTGCTGCTGTGGAGTGATGCGATATGCACTTTACTCTAGAAGATTCAGCAAAAAACTTTTCACTTCCCAGTATATCCAGAATAGATCACATTTGGGACTTAAGAAAATTTGCCAAGCAATCTTTTTTATAGTTATAGTTATTATGTTAACTCCACAGTTCAATGTTATAAGTCAAGCTAGTGTTTATCACCCCAGCCCCCAAAGAAATCTGTGGCACAACATATAAAAATGTACCTCAATAATGTTCTATTAAAAATGGGACAGGGGCCTTATGTTTTCATAATTTCTCAATAATGTGCCACCATATTTTTGCCTCAAGGTAAAAGTTTTAACAAGCTAAAAAGTACTTCCCACTTCCCCCTGTGCTGTTCCTAATCCCTAATGCCCAAGTGTTTTGTGCAATGTGTAGTATGTATAAGTATATATGTATATGTATATGTACACATATACATACATTTATCTTTGAAATAGACATACCATCAGAGACAACATTCAGAAGTAACTGATGTATTGGCATCTCATTCATATTTCTGATATGTGAGGTATATGGTACTAATTACCTTTTCCCTGATGTTTGCCAAATTTGAATAAAGGCATTGGTACGAAATTCCAGAATGTAAACAAAATGTTTTTGGCTTGAAAAATGAACAACTATTTTATTACCTACCACAATATACTCTGCCCAAACCAGCACCATATCTATCTTTTCTGTTCTTTATATCCCTATTCGCCATTCATACTTTCTCAGTTTTTGGGGGTATAACAATTCTTTTGTAGCATAACTATTGATTGCAATTCTATGACGGACTGGTTATTAATAGTACAGTAGTCACCGGTGTGCCACATTTGCATTAGTAAATGCAAAATATACATTTTATAAAGGACAAATTTTGTGTTATGTTTTTATTTTCATTACATTGTATAATATTGTAAGATTATTGTATGTCCTAATTTGCATTATAAATGTTTTTTTCCTACATAAAGGCATAGATATAGCAACTTTGTATAAAGGTAGCTTATTAGATTTTTAATTTTTTTCTTTTATATAAAATTGTCTAACAGTGGGACTACCATTGCCAAATTGTATATGAAATATGAATTTTACCCCCTATGGTTAATTTCTTTTATAAAACATTCCACATTTCTCTAATAAAAGACATAAGTGATACTGTACTATGCATAAATTGTATTTTAATGCTGTTTCATTACAGCATTTTAAATTTGCTTTGCATTTTTAATATTGGCAAAATTTACCACTGTTGATTAAAACCTTGTTGTATATGTAACAACATCTTTTGCCCTCTCTTCCTCCCCACCCTTTGTTCTCTGTTTCTCCCTATCAGTGCCAACTTCATACATTTTGTAGCATGGCAATAAAATATAACTTTTACACTGAGGCCGAGTGTGGCTTTTTGGAGGATGTGGAAATGGGAGAATTACCCTCTAGTTTTTGCCATATGAACCATGTCTCCAGGCATGAGAAGTTATCTCGTATGATGTAAGCATGCTTTTAAGGACAAGTGTGAATGTGTTTTTAAGCTTAATTTTTGTCATAACAAATAAGAACTAATTTGTAATCTCTGGAAAAGTCAGAGTTCTTGAAGTACAATCAAACCTTTAGTAACTGGAGTATTTAAAGAATATGCTAATTGAATTTAGTTCAACAAGGGCTAAGCAACACATTTTTAAAATATATTTTTTTAAATCTTTACTTATTATAGAGTATTAGTATACTGTCCCAAAGTTATATGTAAAATATGGTTTAATCTTAGAGGATTTAGGATCTTGTGAGGGCTTACTGTTGTCATTCTGGCCTAAATTTCCATGATGAGTTACTAAAGTTGATATTGGAAACTGAGCAGACTGACTATACACTGACCTTAAGTTGTTGAATGAAATCTGGTTGGAGTTCTTATGATTATACTTTCCTCTTACTGATGAAAGTAGATTGCAATAAAGCCCCAATAAAAGCTTGGATACCTATTTATAGTTTTACTGTATTTTTCACACATTTCTTGAAACTATGATAAGAGGTTTTATTTCTTTGTCTCATATCACGGCCTCCATTTCTAAGTGAACATATAATGGGTTAAGGTTTATGTTTCATCAAAGTGAAATTAAATTTTAAGTATTTGACAGACTTAGTTTTAAATGTGTGGTCATCCAAAGTAGTTCTTAGCTCTGGGTCTCCAAACCTGTTTTTAGTTACTGAGTGACACTGCAGAGCCCATTTGGATACACTCAAGATGGAAATGACATAAACAATGAGGGGGAAAGGCAAGTCCACAAACAATTGGGTGCTTACTATGTGCCGGACACCATGGAACACATAATTAGTAAAGATGTGGCAGAAACCAAATCTTGGGAAGTGTAGGTATTTGTTCTCAGAAGTTAAGAACTTCGGATTACTTATGTATTTTTTTAGTTCCTTAGAAGACAATAGCTATCCACATGTTTTTATTTAATGAATGAGCATGAGCTAGGTCATATGCTAGTAATGAGTGTTTTCCAGATACACCAAGATTTTGTGTTTGAAGCCCGGTCAGGGCACATACAAGAATCAACCAATGAATGGAACAAATTGATATCCAGTCGGAAGAGCCCTCTTTATTGATAAGCTTTGGGAATAGTGTAAACCAGAGTGAGCAAACTTTTTCTATAAAGGATAAGACCATAAATACATTAGTCTTCATGGGTTATACAGTCAGTCACAATTACTCGGCTTTGCCATTGTATAACCATTGCATTGCACAGTATAAAAAAAGAATGTGTACGCTTGTGTTCCAACCAAGTATGGACACCAAAATGTTTCATATAATTTTAATGTATCACGAAATTAAATTTTTTCAACCATTTAAGAATGTAAAAATCATTATTTACTCTCATCACACAAAAACAGGTGATAGGCAGGAGGGATTTGGCTCCCCATAGTTTGTCAATCCCTGGTGTAAACTAACCTGGTAGAATCAATCAAAAATGGAAAATGACAACGAATGCCAAAAACCCAAGAGCTTGCTAATCGTTTAGTTAATCAAATGGGAAAAAAGGTTATCAGTAGGTGATAGAAGACGAATTTATTTTTAAGGGCCAATTTAGAGAAAGTAGAAAAACGGAAATGTTTGGGATTGATTTTGATTTCTACCAAGACACTATTGCGAGTGTGTATCAGTCACTCTAGGGGGGGTGGGGGCAGGAGGGGAGTGAAATGCAGAGCCTCCTGAACAGCCAGCGGCGCAAAGGCAAATGTCTCCGTTAGAGTTCAGAAAGCCTTGTCCTGGACAGTCACCGTCCAGATAAAAACAGCATCTTAAAATCCAACAAAAGGAACGTGTTTTCCTCCCTAATACTCAGTAAAATTAAAATTAAAATAGCAATAACAATCTTCCTTAGGTACTTGATGGTAAGGAATCCCCAAAACAAAGAGGAAGTGATGAGGTTGGTGAATCAGGTTGTTCGTTATTAGTATATAACACTTTAATATGTATACATGGTGCTTTAAGCCAAATTTTAAAAGATTAAATTGAAGAAAAACTTGCCAGCAGGAACGCCGTCACTACGGCAAACCTGGGGCGCAGCGTCAGTCCGTGTTCTAGGCGCTTCTCCTCCCCATCCGCCCGCCCAACAGCGTCAGGCCCGCCCCTTCCTCTGCGCGAGCCAGAGGAGCCGCCGGGGGCGGGGCGGAGCCGGGCCACGCCCCCCGCTGTGAAGAGCACGTTTACGTCCCAGCTCCCTTCCCTTCCGCCGCGAGCGGCACGCGGCGGGAGCGGCACGCCGGCGAGGCCCCGCCCCCTGCGGCTGAGCGTGCGGCGTCACATCCGGCTCCTCTCCTCCTCGGATCCCGGCCGCGAGCTGTGAGCGAGTAACGTGAGTGGCCGCCTCTTCGGAACCATGGTGAGCCTGGCCCCGCTGCCCTGCCCTGCCATTCCCCGCCGTGTCCTTCTGCCCCACGGCCCCTCTGATCCTTCCGGCGCCGTCGGCTCCCTGTTTCTGTGCCCGGGAGCCGCCGCACATGGTGCGCATTGTGGCGTGTGGCCTGCGCCCCTTCCGCGGGGAAGCCTTCCGCGGGGGCTGGCGGCTGGGGGCTGGGGTGGGCCTCGGCCGGCGGCCCGCTCAGGCACGGCCTCTCCACAGCCCCGGACTCCGAGGCCAGGGGCGCCCCTCCAGCGGAGAAACTTCTAGTGCCGGGGTCGGCGAGCCTGGCCCCGCCTTCCTCGGGCGGAGCCGGGGCGGCGGGGCGGGAGCGGTCCCTCCTGCCTGGCGCTTGGCCCGTTAGCGGCCTACCACCCTGCCTGATGTATTCTTAGTTTAAAACCATCTTTAGTCTTGCTGTTTCTGGCCATCTCTTTAGTGTGTAATTTTTATTACTGGAGCACTTGTGCATCCAAAATAAAAGGTCGCCTTCCTTAGGCAGCGTTTAGAAGTCCCTCCCGCCTCCCCCTTTAATGAGTGACTGCCTGGATGATGGAGAACTTCCATTTGTTTGAAAAAGTACAGTCATGTAATTTTTTTATTTTATTTTTTGTCTACCCAGTTGTAAGTCTAATGGAAGACATCTAAGTATATGTGTTAAGAAATATTGGCTTTCGGGTGGGTACTAGACTTAACCCGGGGATCACTTTCTAAATTATATCAATGTCTAACCACTAAGCTGGAGACTTGAAACTAATGTAAAATAATACTGAATGTCAATTCTCTATATAAAAAGCTAATATGCTAAGTGTCCTTCCCTTCCTCCAGGTAATGACATCATATAGCAACGTCAGGATTCCTCTCCCTAGTGACTAGCCTCCTTGCAGTTTCTTCAGCTCAGGAATACAACTTGCTTTATAGCCATGTGCAAACATTTCACACTTTAACCCAATGTCTGTGAAGCCTTTTCGTTCCTCATCTCATTTGATCATCACAGAAGTCCTGGAGTAGGTAGATAGGAGACTCAGTGGAAAAGGGAGGTTTAGAAAGCTTAGAAACTTGGCCTGACTGAAAAGAAGAAATGGTGGACCTTGAAAATGACTTCAGGTTTTCTCACTGCACAGAATATAGTCAAACACTGCTGCAGTTAAATATTTTACCCTTTGTTCTCCCTACATGATCTACAATAATAATGTGCTTCTTGCTGATACTGCTGTGTTGCTAACAATTACCTGAAAGAGAAGTTGGGATGCTTTCCTGGGCTGGGAAAGGGTTAGCTAAGCCGAAACCGGTTTGGCTCAGTGGATAGAGCGTTGACCTGCGGGCTGAAAGGTCCCGGGTTCGATTCTGGTCAAGGGCATGTATCTTGGTTGCGGGCACATCCCCGGTAGGGGGTGTGCAAGAGGCAGCTGATCGGTGATTCTCTCTCATAATGTTTCTAACTCTCCTTCCCTCTCTCTTCCTCTCTGTAAAAAACAAAAACAAAAAAGGTTTAGCTAAATCAGAAAGCAGGTCTAATTAAGCACGTTTATTCTTTATCAGTAAAAGGGTAACTTGACTTGCACATGCTTGATATGTATAAAGCTCTCGCTGATGCCAGTCACTCAGGTGTTTTGATCTGTCTTTGTGAATTTGGTTGACTCTTCTAAAGGGTGAAGAGCAATATTAAAACATTTCTTCTAATTAATTTCCTTTTATGTGCACAAATTTGTGCACTGGGCCACTAGTTGAAATATAAAAGATGAAATTTAAAAAAATTTTAAAAATATTTGTATTCAAAGTGGATTTTTTCTTTTTAGGCGTCCCTTTCGCTTGCACCTGTCAACATCTTCAAAGCTGGTGCTGATGAAGAAAGAGCAGAGACAGCTCGTCTGGTAAACCTTGTTTTCCTCATTTGTTTAAAGATACAGTTGTACTTTTACAATTTTAAGATTTAGAATGTATTTTTACAATCTCTTTGATCTTTATTCCAGTCTTCCTTTATTGGTGCCATTGCTATTGGAGACTTGGTAAAGAGCACTTTGGGACCCAAAGGCATGGTGAGAAAAACAAGGAATTTTTATGTTTTGATACTGTTTTAGAGCCCTTAGTGGAAATATACATAGTAAATGACATTTTTTAATCTTTCAACTTTAACTCTTAATTATACAGGTAAGACATGGATATATTCTTTTTCACTGAAAATCAAAACAGTAGTCATATGGCTGAAGTCCCATTAGTTCCTACCCTTCTACTCCAACCGCTGTTAGCACTAGGATGTAAATCTTCCCAATATTTTTGTTCATTTATGTAAATACATGTATATCTTACGTATTGTGTATTTTCTTATAGTCTCAAGGTAATACTTTTTTATTGTAGGTATTATTTATGTGTAGTTTTTCTGCAGCTTGTTTTGTTAAAATTCTGCTTCCAAGTATAAATGGTATTTGGCATCTTGATTAGTTTATAGTTTACATTTTTTATTGTATTGAATGATAGTTTGTTTCCATTGTTTGGGCTATTACAATGCTGAAATAACCTTGTTCCTATCTTCCTTGTTCTTGTAGTGTTTTTAGGGGTAGAAAGCAAGGTTTACTTGTGGGATGTATGCAATGAAAAAAATTGAATGGATACTGCCAAATAGCCATCCAGGATATTTACCCATTAGCAGTATATGAGGATATTGGTTGATCCTTGCAATGTTCAAGATGTAATTAGATCTTAACTTGAGCCAAATATGTTCCTTTTAGGACAAAATTCTTTTAAGCAGTGGACGAGAAGCCTCTCTTATGGTGACCAATGATGGTGCAACTATTCTAAAAAACATTGGTGTTGATAATCCAGCAGCAAAAGTTTTAGTTGGTGAGTCTGAGATGATTCTTATTTGTTAACATTTCTAAACAGTTTTTGTTTTAGAGAGAAACATCAATTTGTTGTTCCACTTAGTGTTGCATTCATTAGTTAATCTTTGTGCACTGACTGTGGATTGAACCTGCAACCTAGCTTTGTAGGGATGATGCTCTAACCAACTGAGTTACCTGGCCAGGGCTTGAAATAAATTTTAAATAGGCTATGTTGACTAACTGTATTTTCAATATACTGTTGTCCACTTTTTAATTATTGTCATTATTAAAATACAAGCTTCTGGAGTGCCATTAATTATTGATAGTAAAAGTATTGCATTTCATGCTGAAAAATTCCAAAGAATTTATCAGGTGAGGAGACCTAGTTAAATGAGACTTTGATTGGTAGTGGGTATTTTTGGAGGATTAGCTAAGTTACAGAGAAGTAATTTAAAAGGCAGAATCAGTCAAAACCGGTTTGGCTCAGTGGATAGAGCGTCAGCCTGCGGACTGAAAAGTCCCAGGACATCCCCAGTGGGAGGTGTGCGGGAGACAGTTGATCGATGTCTCTCTTCGATGTTTCTGACTATCCCTCTCCTTTCCTCTCTGTAAAAAAAATCAATAAAATATATTTTTTTAAAAAAAGGCAGAATCAAATTTTTTTTCCCCCTAGATATGTCACGGGTTCAGGATGATGAAGTTGGTGATGGCACTACCTCTGTTACTGTTTTAGCAGCAGAATTACTAAGGGTAAGACTATCTGGGTAACTTTAATGTCATTCACTTTTTTGCTTCTGTGGTTTTGAATGTCAGAAATAAGTCCTTACATCCTGTATTTTTACTATTGACAAGTATTTTTCTCTGTTTATTAATAGGAAGCAGAATCTTTAATTGCAAAAAAGATTCATCCGCAGACCATCATTGCAGGTTGGAGAGAAGCCACAAAGGCAGCAAGACAGGCTTTGTTGGATTCTGCAGTTGATCATGGGTTCGTATACCAAAATGTTACTGTTTTAAACATTTAACATTCTGTCCAAAGTATGCTCCATGCACAAAGTCTAGAGAACAAGAAAAGCATACACAAACATTATCCTGCTGCTTCATCCTGCCCCAGCATAAAACCCCACGCTTACCCTCCACTAAAGTTAAAGTTTGGGTTTTTATTTTTTGCCTAATCATTAGTAAAACGAATAATAGCATTGTGTGAAGGAGTATTAATATTAGCCTCTTTAACTCAGTTGAATAACAACCAGATTTGTGGGTATTGGTATTGGTATTCTACACATTTTTAATCAAGGTATACATTTGACTATATCACTACAGTATAATTTACCTCTATAGTTGGAGTAGACCCCAAGGTTTGCTGGGTGTGTGCACTGGAAAAAATTTGAATGGATACTGCCAAATAACCATTAAGGATATTTACCCATTAGCAGTGTAAGAGGTTATTGATTGACCCATGCAGTGTTAACTTTTATGTTGTGACAAAGTAAGTTGCCACCAAGAAAATATTCCAAGAAGTATTGCTGGGTTCAAAGATAATGTGTGGTGGTGTTTTTTTTTTTTAAAAAAAATATGTTTTTATTAACTTCAGAGAGGAAAGAAGAGGGAGAGAGACAGAAACAGTGATTAGAGAGAGTCATTGACTGCCTCCTTCACATCCCTTTCTGGGGATTGAGCCCGAAACCAGGGCATGTGTCCTGACCAGGAGTTGAACTGTGACCTGGTTCGTGGGTCGATGTTCAACCACTGAGCAACATCAGCCAGGCAAATGTGTGTGTTTTAATTTACAAGTAATCGTCCAGAAAAAAATTTACACTTCCACTGTCTGTATAACAGCACCTGTTTTTCCATGATCTTGACAACGTTTGGTTTGCTTTTGTCTCCTTGTTTCTTTTTTAGTAGTTTGCCAGTTTAGTGGCGAAAATAGTATTCTTTAATTTTCATTTCTTGCTTATTGGTATGGTCTAATTCTTATCACGTGAGCCCTGACTGGTTGGGATGAAATTGACAGGCATGTGTCTGCATAAATATAGCAAGTAAATTAGGGTTGATATCTGTGAGGAAGCATTTAAGAATAAAAAAACAAACATTTCATTTGAGAAAAGTCATGAGTTTTTTTGTTTGGTGGTTTTGTAGTTCTGATGAAGAAAAATTCCGCCAAGATTTAATGAACATTGCAGGAACAACATTATCCTCAAAACTTCTTACTCAGCACAAAGATCACTTCACTAAGTTAGCTGTAGAAGCTGTTCTCAGATTGAAAGGCTCTGGTAATCTGGAGGCAATTCATGTCATCAAGAAGCTAGGAGGAAGTCTGGTGGATTCCTATTTAGATGAAGGTATGTATGTATGTATGTATATATGTTAAATGTGGGAAAAGAAGCTCTGATGGGAGGTTGAAGGCTAAATACTGTGAGTCCTGTTTTTAGCTAGTCAGGATGACTGTACAAAGCCAGAAAACCTGTCTAAGGACAAAAATTATATTGCAACCATTTTTGTCATTTCAATCCATTTGTTAAATTGAGTGTCTTTCATCTCACCATGTCAGCCTCTCATTGATAATATCCAGATTTTACTTTATACTATAAAGATATTTTTCAGTCTCTAGTAAATAGTAAAGAGAAATTACTGTTCTACTAAATCAGCTGTTTTCAAATGGTGCATTTTCAGTAATACATGGGTTCTTAGGAAGGGTCTGGGTTAATAAGTAAAAACATTTTTTAGTTGGCAGGTGTTGAGGATATAGTTCTTGGTGTTCTCAGAGTCTTAGCAAGTGCTATTTCCCTATACTGTGTATTTTGTTCATTAAATGGGATTTTCCAAGTACCTTTACCATTGTGTTAATTTCATAAGCTGTCCTGTAGAAAGTGAAGTAGGCATTATCTTTAATAGAGAAGGAAAAAGGGAGTAAGTTGTGATTTCCAGTTTCTCCTTTACCAGTGTTCAGGCATTCCTGCATGTCATTTTTATTTTCCAAAGAGTAATAATTATGAAAATATTCTTGGTTTAATTTATGTGCAAGGGCTCTATTGTTTCTAATAGGGACTGGTGGTAGGGAAGATAAAACAAAGATAGCTTTCATTCTCTGAATGTCTGCTCTGTGCCAGGTATTCTAATAGGAATTTTACTTAAAATCTCATTCCTTACGATAGTGAGGATTAGGTTCAGCTTAATAGAGCAGAAAACTTAAGGTGATAATGGATTAATAAGATAAAAGTTACATATACATCTGAAAGAAGCCTGAAGAGAGAGGCTGTGTTCTTATGATAGTTGTAAATCAACAGGGTCCTATGCTGGTAACTAATAATCTATGTCATTGGTTATATTCCCAAAGTAAAGTTGATAAATTGTCTAAGGTTGCATACATAGCCTAAATGCAGCAGGGGTGTGATTGGGGCCATGTTTATCAGACTCCATTGTCCATGGCTTTTTCATTTTATCACCAACCTCAGTTCTTTATATATCTCAGTAATTTCTAGCAGTATGTTGTGTATCTAAATATTCACAACTTGTTTTCTTTTGTGTTGGTTTTAAGCTAATAATAGTGTTCTTAATACTTTTACATTGCAACTCACATTCCTGTGTATATAGTATACTGTATATCTAATAAAAGTTTCAAAATACTGTGTTTACTAGGACTCTTAATACTTGTGCTGTACTTAACCCTGAAGTATTTTACTACCCTTATATTGTAGGCTTTCTGTTGGATAAAAAAATTGGAGTAAATCAACCAAAGCGAATTGAAAATGCTAAAATTCTTATTGCAAATACTGGTATGGATACAGACAAAATAAAGGTATGTTTACATTTCTTGAAACTAGTTGCTAGCTGCTATAAACTCAGGCTGGGAATTCATTGTACCATAAAGGTTAGACTATATATGAATATATGTATGTACACTTTTTTGGTGTGTTTACATAAAAATGTATGTATGTTCTATGGGACTCTGAGGAGTAATGAAAGTGATGCTATTTTTTTGCTTTCCTCTTAGATATTTGGTTCCCGTGTAAGAGTTGATTCTACAGCTAAGGTAGCTGAAATAGAACAAGCAGAAAAGGAAAAAATGAAGGAGAAAGTTGAACGTATTCTTAAGCATGGGATAAATTGCTTTATTAACAGGTCTGTGCATTCTTGTGCCAACAATATTTGTAACGATCTAAGGAAGGATTTTTTTTCTAAAAAGGTTTATGGAAGTACTTTATATGGAATTAATGATTTATTTAGGAACTGCTTCTCCCTCCTCCCCCATAGAAATATAATTGTACACAAGGCATTAGCATTACAAAGATTTTAGTGATATTTACTGATTATACTTTACTAAACGATTTTATGTTAACAGTAACAAAAACAATTTTCTGATTTGGCAGATAGGCTATAATTTTGGCTATTAGTATACGTGTATTTGGAGGAGAGAGTTTTGTATTAAATGATGGGAATTTGAAGTAGCTAAAAGCATAGAGATAAAACAAGAAGAGATAAAAATATTAAGAATTAAAAAAAAATATTTTTATTGATTTCAGAGAGCAAAGAAGAGGGAGAGAGAAATAGAAACATCAGTGACGAGAGAATCATTGATTAGCTGTCTCCTGCATGTCCCCTACTGGGGATAGAGCCAGTGACCCGTGCATATTGACTGGAATTGTAGAACCTGGGACTTTTCAGTCTGCAGGCCGACACTCTATCCACGGAGCCAAACCAGCTAAGGCAGGGCTTTTAATTTTTATGAAAAAATATATGTAAGCCTTTTTCATGTATTCTTGTCAGTAATGGAGAAAATAGCAAGAGGAACATCACATTTCAATGAAATGGTTGCAGTTAACTTTGAGAGATAATGTTTAATGAAAAATAATTGTTTAGGCTAAATGTTTGTGGGCTTTTTAAAAGTAAGTTTCTCAACTATGTAATCTGTGAATCTGATAAGACATTTTACCTAGCAGTGCATTATACTAATTATAATTTGGCTTTAAAAAAAAAAACAACTAACATTTTTAAACAGATGTTCTTTTTATTCCTGTTGTAAAAGTAACATATGCTCATTTTGGAAAATAGAAAAGTATAAAGAAGTAACAATCTAGGGTTTTACTCAGAAAGTCTTTCCTTTACAAAAGTTAACTTTTGTGTGTGTCTGTATGTGTGGTAGTCTAATTTCATAAGCTGTAAACTTGTAACTAACTTTTTAAATTTATATATTTTTACTTAAAATTACAGACTTTCTATAATTTGTAAATTGTGATTTATACAAGCACTCTCCTAGGGACATTGGATCTCTGGCAAATTTTTCTATGTAAAAATTATTACAAATATCTTCATTACATGTTTTAATACCAAATTTTTTAATTCTCGAAGGCTGTTTGGAAAGTGATTTGTTAGAAAATGGAATAATTTTTTCCCATTAGAAATAATGTAAATTGAATTGATTCTTAGTTCAAGACTTCCCAAATGATTTCTTTTTAACCTTTGTTTTATATACTACATGTCTAATATGTTGTTTAATATAAAATAATTTTATAGAAATATACTTTATTGATTTCAGAGCAGAAGGAAGAGGGAGAGACAGAGAGAAACATCAATGATGAGAGAGAAACATTGGCTGCCTCCTGCACGCCCCTCCACTGGGGATTAAGCCCGTTACCCAGGCATGTGCCCTTGACTGGGACCCTTCAGTCTACTGGCCAATGCTCTACCCACCGAGCCAAACCAGCTAAGGCAAATAACCAATTTTTTTTAAAAAAAATTATGCATCCGCTACTAGCCTTATATGAATCACTTTTAGCACTCATTCCAGGAGTTTGTTTCAGGAAGTCAGTTTGAGGCATCTTCACTTTTTCCTATATGGGTGTCTCTGAAATGCTATCATTGGCTAACTGCTATCCAAATCAACAGTTTTTCTACTTTATGTTTTAAAATTGTGCTAATCATAGATTGACCCAGCATCAAAAGCATTCTCATCTTGGATGTCTGAGACCTTTTTTTGTCATGCTGAAAATGTTATCAGGTTAGTTTGGTTTCTCAACAAAAAGTTTGGCTTGACAACTTAACACATTTTTTCCCTGAACAACTTAGTCCATAATCAAATTGTTCAAGATAGAAGACAGTTAAGAACTGATGTTTGACTGTGTAAAGGAACACCTGTTTTTAATTCTAGCATGGATGTATTACAATTTAAATTATTATATAGCCAAGAAATGATATCTTCTCATTTGTATTTGATTTCTGTTGTGAAAAATTTTCCTTTGTTTTTTGTTTCGTCTAATGTATTTCATCTTAGGAAGTAATAATGTATTTATGTATTTTATTTATAGGCAATTAATTTATAATTATCCTGAACAGCTCTTTGGTGCTGCTGGTGTTATGGCTATTGAACATGCAGATTTTGCAGGTGTAGAACGCCTGGCTCTTGTCACAGGTATGAAGAAAAGTCATTAATTAATTTCTTACAAACATAATAATCATTCTTGGATTTATTGAGTTTAATACTGTTGACTCAAACAAAATAGGGCAGGTTAAGGGAGCCAATACCAGCCATGGACAGTCAAAAATCTCATAACTTGAGTTTGCAAAAAACGTAATAGTCCTTCACACCCAACTGCAATGGTAAAAGTTACCCTTGAATAACATGGGTTTGAATTGCATGTATCCAGTTTTTTAAGTCCACTCATAAGTGGACCTACGCAGTTCAAACCTACTGTTCAAGGGTCAAGTATATAACTCATTGCTGAGAGTACAAAGAAATCCCTGTAAGGAGTTTGGAATATAAACTGTTATTCTGAAATCTGATTTAAACTTTTTGGATACCTTTAGTTACATTATGTATTTGTTTGTTTATTCATTTATTTTAAAATGGTTGAAAATTTTACATATATCTCCTTTTCCCCCAATTGACCTCTACCCACCTACTCCCACCCCCATTATTATTTTAAAAAAATATATTTTTATTGACTTCGGAGAGGAAGGGAGAGGGAGAGAGAGAAACATTAATGAGGTGAGAGAATCATTGATCTGCTGCTTCCTTTACAACCCCAGCTGCGGCTGGAAGGTCGTCCAATCTAGTTAGCATATTATGCTTTTATTATTATAGATTTATTATAGATAATTAAATTTTATTATTATAGATTTATTATAGATAATTATGCTTTTATTATAGATTTATTATAGATAATTTAATTACATAATTATAGATAATTAAATTACATATCTATACATATGGTATAGATTTCTTTTTGTTGAGTTTTAAAGATTCATACTACATTATTTCTCAAACTCACAGGACCACTGTTCTAAACATAAAGTCTATATATAAGCTGGAGCTTAAAGGATATGTCTTACCTAGTTTATTCACTTATTAATTTCTAGTGCTAAATGATTAGTTTAATGCTTTATGCCCTGCATGGTAATACAATTATGATAGAATATTTATTGAACACTTAACAATATACCAGAGAGTGGGTCAAGAATTTAAACATTGTTTTTATTATTTTTTTAAACATTTCTGAAAGCAATAAATGTTGAAATTAGTATAAAACAGTTTGGCAGTGTATGATGAAAAGTTAGTATACTCCAAAACCAGATATGAGTGATATCCCAGTTGTGTGAAATAGAAATTGTGTTTACAGATAAGGTTAAGTATTTTCATGTTTTTGTAAATGAATGAATAGTTTGGAAAGTTGGTTTGGGATCTGGCAATGAGAATTGAGGAGATTGGGGTTTTGGAAGTAAAGTCAACGGGAATGTTGAATTCAGTTTGGAACTGCCATGAATATTAGAAAGAATTAAAAGATACTACTTAATGTAGAGTAGAATTAGTCTCGTCTCAGAATTCTTCAGCCATTTTCCCCCTCTTTTTTGATATTTTGTTTCTTTAGCCATTTTTTTAAGTTAATCTGTTTTTTTTTTATTTTTATTGATTTTTCACAGAGAGGGAGAGAGAGAGATAGAGGGTTAGAAATATCGATGAGAGAGAATCATCGATCAGCTGCCTCTTGTACACACCCCGCTGAGGATGTGCCCGCAAACAAGGTACATGCCCTTGACCAGAATCGAACATGGGACCTTTCAGTCCGCAGGCCGATGCTCTATCCACTGAGCCAAACCAGTTTTGACTCGTTAGCCATTTTTAATAATCTGGGAAGCATAATCTTCTGACCTAAAAAGAAGCATTTTTCTTTTATAATTGCTTTGAAGTGGGTTTACCTGTTCTAATTAAAGTTCTTTAAAAGCCATTGCACACATGATGCTTAAGGTGATTAAACTTAAGGTGCTCTTGTTCATGTAAATCCTTCTTTATTGCAACAAAATTAAAGACATAGGAAATGTGAATGATAATTCACATAAGTTGGTATCATAAGTTGATTCTATACATGAAATTGAGACATATACTCAACAAAATTTGCTGCACTAAGCACACTAACTGAATTTGACCCCAGGGTGGCTCTCGTTCTATTATATTAGCTTGAATGTTGTCAAGGTGTGTGAAATTGGTTCTTGTGAATATAGGATAAGTAAAAATTCTCAAAAATCAAATCAGTATCATTTTTGGGATATGATGTCCCAAACATCTTTTGGGTCTCAAGTCTAGAAAGCAAAGTTTATTTTGTTGACACCTCAATTAACTTTGCTCTTGGAAATTATGTATTTCCCCCTTTACTAGGCATTACAGGGGCTTGCTAACATTTCAGTTATTGTGATAATTAGCAGATATCAAGTGTTCACTATTTAAGCTGGTTCTAAATTTGTACATCTATTGTCATAATACTGTTGACATAATAAGACTAGTCAGATATTCTCATTTTTCTTTTGAGAAATTGGGTCATAGGAGAATTGGTCTTCTAGATTGGATTCTGTCTTAAAAGTACATGTTAAAGTTTCAGTTTAACCTTTCAGGTTGTGGATTGTAGTATGCAGTATGTGTATATAGGTGTGAGGTCAGACTGCTTCGACTTGAATCCTAGCTTTACCTTACTTGTTCAAGCTGTAAAACCTTGGATAAGAAACTAAACATCTCTTTGCCTTAATTTTATCATTTCTAAATGATAATGGAACTTACCTCAGGTTTGTTACAAAGACTAAACCAGTTCATTTAAGGTGCTTCAAACAGTGGTTGGCAATTTTTAAAAATGTTATCTGTCCATTACTGCTTGTTAAAAAGCAAGTTTTAAATCTGTTGTGTATTTAATTATGTTCGTAGGTGGTGAAATTGCCTCTACCTTTGACCACCCAGAACTTGTGAAACTTGGACATTGCAAGCTTATTGAGGAAGTCATGATTGGAGAAGACACGCTCATTCACTTTTCCGGGGTAGCCCTTGGTGAGTGATCATGTAGATCCTGGTTTAGGTTCCTAAATCTTTGCTTGACTCTGTTGAAATGAAAAACAAAGAGGAAAAAAAACACACCAAAAAATAGTTATATAGTTACTAGAATATGATATGTCTTAATTCTTGTGAAGTATGGTGTATATTAATTTTAATCTCTTGTGAGGTCAGCCTTATATTATCTTTGGGAACAGTGCATTTTCAACATGTTTTTTTTTTTTTTTTTTTAGATAATTTAGAATTGTTATGAACAAGGGTTGCTGGTAGAGAATGTGTAACAGTGGGAGACATATCAGCTTTCAAAACAAAGTAATAGAACCAAACATAAATGATAGAAAGCTATTTTTTGTTTTATAATTTGCTCATTGTGACATTTTTTTTTAACATTAGGTGAGGCTTGCACTATTGTTCTTCGTGGTGCCACTCAACAAATTTTAGATGAAGCAGAAAGATCTTTGCATGATGCTCTTTGTGTTCTTGCACAAACTGTGAAGGATTCTAGAACAGTTTATGGAGGAGGTAAAAACATTTTATTTATTTTCTTAAAGAATTGTATAAATTGTAAGTGGTTTTTAATGGTTCTCATAGAAACTACATATTGCATTTGCACTTAATTTGCAAGTGCTTGATATATCTAAGGGAAGTCAATAATTTAGTGTCTTTGAGACAACTAAGCATGTGGTATTTTATTGAATTTTTAATCCATAGGCTGTTCAGAGATGCTGATGGCTAATGCTGTGTCTCAGCTTGCCAATAAAACACCAGGTAAAGAAGCTGTTGCAATGGAGTCTTATGCTAAAGCACTGAGAATGGTAAGTTAAAAATAAGAGATCTGAACTTAAATTTTGTTGTATATATAAAAGGCTAAACGACCATCTGATTGGTAGCTATGACACATAATGACTACCAGGGGCATATGCTCAACATAGGAGCTGCCAAGCTGCCGTGACTTGGCAGCTGTGGTTCTTGGGTGATGCACCCCAGAACCAGAGAGAAGGGAGCCCAATTCCGGGGTGCATTCCCCTACAACCACTCTCTGGCAATCCAGGACCCCTCGGGGATGTCGGAGAGCTGGTTTCAGCCCGATCCCCACAGGCCAGGCCAAGGGATCCCACCTGCTCGATAGACCCCGCTCACTCCGCAGACACCCTTTGAGGTGTGGCTGGCCAGGGAGGGACCATATGAGATTGGCTTCAGGGCACGTCTGGTCTGTCTCACCCAGTCCCACCCTGCTGGTCACTTTTTAAGGAATTTCCTTTCAATATGCATGAATCTGTGCAATGGGGCATCAGTATTTTTATAATTTGGACACAAAATGTTTATTTCCTTGCCTTTAAAAAAAAGAACTGTTTCATACTATTACATTTGATTCTGGCCCTGGCTGGTGTGTTCAGTGGTTAGAGCATCTGCCTGCACAGTGTAATAGAGGCAACCATTGATGTCTCTCTCTCTCTCACATCAATGTTTCTTTTTTTTCTTCCCTTCCCCCTTCACTCTAAACACCAATGGAAAAATATCCTTGGGTGAAGATTAACAAAACAAAAAAAATTGATTCTGACCCTAGTTGGTTTTGCTCAGTGGATTGAAGGGTCCGGGTTCAGTTCCAGTCAAGGACATATACCTCGGTTGCAGGCTCCAGCCCTGGTCAGGGGCATGTGGGAGGCAAGCAATTATTTCTCTGTCTCTCTCTCCCTTTTACTCTAAAAATCAATGGGAAAAATATTAAGTGGGGATTCAAAAAAACCAAATTTGATTCTGGAGTTTATCTCTTTGAGTAGTGATTAAAAGGAAGCAGATTTTACAGTGTTATGTATTTTTAAGAAGCTATCCTAGTTAGGCATAAATGTTTTTTGTTTTTGTTGTTGTTAATCTTCACCCAAGGATATTTTTTGCCCCAACCAGGGCCAGCAATCTAACCTACAACCCAGGCACGTGCCCTTGATCAGGAATTGAACCTTCGACCCTTTGGTGGTTGAGCTGATAGCACTTGACAACACCGGCCAAAGCAGGCATAAATGAATTATTCTATAATAGATAGTAACGTTTTTGTCTTCTCCACTTCGTAGTTGCCTACCATAATAGCTGACAACGCAGGCTATGACAGTGCCGATCTGGTGGCACAGCTCCGAGCTGCCCATAGTGAAGGCAATACAACTGCTGGACTGGGTAAGAAATCAGTTGTGACCTTGTAGTTATTAAGAGTAACTTTTTATCAAGTTCTTTACCTTTTTTAAAAAATGAATTCTCATGGTAACCATATAAAAGTCTCCTGTGGCCCTTTTGTAAGCATTACATAATCTAGAAAAATGTTTTACTTCATAATCTTAACACTGCCAAACGTTGTTACTTCATAAAGGGTATAAATCTAGTTTAAAGACTTGTAACTAGTTTGTTATATTATGACTATAGAATTTAAGTACATAAACAGTACTTACATTCTGATATAAGTGTGTAAACTTCACTATATCTATTGTAATATAATCAGCATCAATTCCTAATCTCACAGTAGATTTATTCTGAGACATTCTTGAATGCAGATCTCTGATACAAAGATAAAAATGGCCAAAAAGGCAAGCTTAATTCAGAAAGAAAAATATCCCAGCAAACTATCCAGGATGTTGTAGGGTCAATCTTAGAGAGTAAGTAATCCTGCCATTGGATAAGAGAGCTGATGAATAATGATCTGTATGAGTTAGGATTCTCACAAGAATAAAAATATTTGACTTCTAAATTCTCTCTTCCAGTGCTTAAGAATTATGGTAATTAGAAATTTTCTATAATAATTTTATATATATGTTCAGGATATGTAGGTGATCTTGTATAAGGTTTTGTGTAAATTTTTCATCATTTGACTTAGTAGTTCTCCATTAATATAAATCATTAGTTGATGGTTTTGATTTTTTAAAAGGCTTTTATTGAGTCATAGACTTGAGTCATTAGGTTCTGTAATTTTATTAATTGTAACAGGACTAATTTCTTAAAAGTCATTAGTGATGTTTTGATACTTGTTAAAACCGTAGTTTATTTAGTAAAAACTTTCTTTCCAGATATGAAGGAAGGTACTATTGGCGATATGGCAATACTGGGCATAACAGAAAGTTTCCAAGTGAAACGGCAAGTTCTTCTGAGTGCAGCTGAAGCAGCAGAGGTAATTCTGCGTGTGGATAATATCATCAAAGCAGCACCAAGGTATTGGAGCACTTTATAAAACATTTCTTAGAAAAAATTATTGACATGGAAACAAACAGGTAGCTGCATATATCATATATAATATTTGACTAGAGGCCTGGTGCATGACATTTGTGCACTTGGGGGGCCTGGCCTGCACCCTCTCATAGTCTGGGAGCCTCAGGGGATGTCCTACTGTAGGGAGCAGGCCTAAGCTGGCAGTTGGACATCCTTAGCACTGCCACAGAAGCAGGAGAGGATCCTACCACTGCTACTCACCAGCCATGAGCCTGGCTTCTGGCTGAGCAGGGTCCGTCTCCCCGTCCCCCCCCCTCCCTCCCCCTCCCCACTCCCATGGGAGTGCACTGGCCACCAGAGGGCAGCTCCTAGTGGTCAGTGTGCGTCATAGAACCTATTTCAGTTGATTTGCATATTAGCCTTTTATTACATAAGATATGGTAGTTGATAGAAAGTGTAGCCATTTTTTGCCTAGATAAAAGAATTATGCATGTTACTTAAAATATGTAATCACAACTCTTAGATTTAAGCCAGAAAAATGTAGGGGAGTAAGGTATGGTGACACAGGATAATTCTCAGGATTGAAAGGGCACACAAAGAGTCAGGCTTGGAAAAGTCAAGAACCAGAGAGCTTGGAGGCAGAGGAAGAACTGAAATCCTACCATAATGGATCAGCTCCAGTCATTCCTGTCCTGGACACATTTTTCCATTCCGGCATTCTTTCATTATTTTTGGAACGATGAGTTTCCTGTAGTTTATTTTATTGATTTCAAGAAAGGAAGGGAGAGAGAGAAAAAAGTATCAATGATGAGAGAGAACATTGTTTGGCTGCCTCCTGCATGCCCCCCACTGGGGATTGAGCCAGCAACATGGGCATGTGCTCTTAACTTGGGCATATGCCCTTGACTTACCAGTCCGCAGGCCGACGCTCCATCTACTGAACAAAACCCACTAGGGTCATACCGACATTTTTAAAAAAATATATTGATTTGAGAGAGAAAGGGAGAGAAAGAAAGAGAAACACCAATGACAAGAGAATCATTGATCAGCTGCCTCCTGTACTGGGGACATGTGCCCTTGACCAGACTCGAACTTGGGACCCTTCTGTCCACAGGCTGACACTATCCACTGAACCAAACCGACATTTTTAAGCACATAATGAGCAGTTTCTTGCATGTTTCTATATCAGCAGCTTTTCTAAAGATGTCAAATTCTTTTAAAAGTCACATTAAAATGATTAAAAGGCAAGAAAATTTTAACTTTTGAATATTTAGTCAATAATTTTAGACTCTTAATAGTTACCAAAATCATTTATTTTTACTTGTTAGTGATAGTACTGGGAGATGGGACGGGATGGTGGCATGGACCAGGAGGTAGAAGTGAAGGTGGTGGTAAGAAGTGGTTGATAAAAAATACATTATGTGCAAACTTGGAAGGTTGGATGCAAGGTGTGAGAGGAAAGGGATTTGTGGCTAATTCAAGGTTTTTGTAGGGAGAAATAGTGTTTCTCATTTCTAAGATGGCTTTGGGGGGGAAGAAGGGGATTTCATTTTGGGAATTTGAGATGTGTTTCGATAGTTGAGTTGGGTAGTTGATTTTGTAGTTTAATAGGAAGTTGGAGCTATAGTTCTAAATGTAGGAGTTGTTAGCCTATGTGTGTTATTTTAAGCCATTAGACTGACCCAGTCCCCAAGGGAATGAATGTAGATAAAAAAGGAAAGGAGTCTTAAGGACAGCACTAAAGAATTCCAGTTTGGAAAGATTCAAACTAGATTCATGATATAATCTCTGCTTTTATATACATTTGAGATTTCCCATAATACCAAAGGTGGGAATAGTGGGGGGGAGAGGGGGGTCCTACCACAGTGGGAGGAAAAATCAAGAGAATGAGTATCCAGAGGTCAAGTGAAGAAAGGATTTAGGGAGGAAGAGTGATCAACTGTCAAAATGATGCAGATAGGCCAAGTAAAATAAGGACTGATACTTGACCTTAAAAATGGGATTTAATGCCTGGCCAGTATTGCTCAGTGGTTGAGTGTTGGCCCATGAACTGGAAGGTCATGACTCCATTCCTGGTCATATTGTAGGTTCCGTCCCCAGTATGGAGTAGCCAATCGATTTTTCTCATTGATGTTTCTCTCTATCCCTCCTTCTCTCACTAAAATCAATTAAAAAATACTAGAAAAAAATTGTGTTTAATAACACAGGCCATTGGTAATCTTGGCAAATAGTTTTAGTGGAATGGAAAGGATGGGAAAAGAGGAATTGGAGAAAGTGTATATAGACTGCTTTTTGGAGGAGTCCTGCAAATGGGAGCAGCTAAGTGGGATAGTAGCTAGGGCTGGTGTATGGGTCTTTACCTTGAAAATTCAGCTTAAGAGGGAGCGATTTCCTAGAGAGGAAATGATGGATGCAGAAAAGGGGAGCTGTCCACTAAGCAACTGCAAGAAGGAATGAGAGGTCAGAGAATTAAGAGCAAGAGTTGGTTTTACACAGGAGCACAGGAAGGAAGTTGGGATGCTTCTAGGGAATTGTACCTTAAATGCACAAAGTTACAAAGTGATTTTTTTTGTGTGTAGAACCTGCATTACTCATTTCATTGACTTTTGTGAGTGGCAACTATCATAATACTATTAGAGGAAGGAAAGAGTAGAGAATAGTGATTTGGATGTAGAGAGAACAGATGAAATGGTATTTGATTTTACTGTGATGTACTGGAAAGAGGACTGGAATGAAAAATCTAGAGATTCCCTGCTTCTGGTACTGGGAAGATGGGATAATGAGCACTTCCCTCACCAAATTTTGAAATGGAAAATTGGTGAGAAGAAACTGACAGTTTTTTTAGAAGTAGTGCCACCAAAAGATGATTAAATGCAATTATGATTTTTGTTGTTTTTAAGCAGAATGATAGCAAAAGGAAACAGTTCTATAATTAAACTTTTCTGATTTGGGTCAAGGTCACATAGCCACACTCCTCAGAAATCTTCACAATAATTTAGCTCCCTCCACTACCTTTGAAATACACACTGTATTATCTCACTTGATCTGGTAAAACTGTTTTAGAGGTTTAAGTGTATTAAATATATTAGAAATTTTAATCTGGGCTGTGGACTTTATTTTCATAGTAGTTAATAACATCCAGAAGACTTATTTTCATGGTCAGTGCCCTTTTACAGCTGCTTAATAATTTTCTATATTGACTCTTTTAGCATCCTTTAGTCATATTTCCATAAGCTTTTGAGGTTGGGTTTATCTCTTTATATGATTCCAGTATGCTATCTATGCTCCTTGGTTCTGTATTCATGCTTTTCTGCTTCTTTTACTAGTACCTTTTTATTTCTAGAAGCAGTGTTTCTCAAATCCTAGCTCCATGAACAGGCACTAAGTAAATAATTTCACTGGTAACCCTACTATGCCACCTTCCTGAGTCTTTCACTATATGGTTACGAAAGAATAAAAATTTAATGTATAAGAGGTACTATTGGCGAGTTACTTGACCCCGTTATCACCTTACCTGTTGGATTTTTTTTTTCTTCAGTAATCCAAAAATTTTCATCTAGAGGCTCTAAAGCCTTGTCATTTTACAGTTTCTAGTTAAGAATAACTGTTTTTGACTAATTTAGTAAAATTCTCTAACACATAGTAGTTGCAAATATGAATTAATCATTTTCTGGAAAATACATATTAACCATTTTTTGGAAAATGACGTATTTGTTTAAGCGGGTTGTTTGTACAAGAAATTAAGAACTGCTAAATTACTATCGACCTTTTATTTCATAGATTTTGTAAAGTCTTTTTAATAAAATTATAATTGAGGGATGTTAGGTAAAAACATCTTGTAGAGAATTGGGTGATAATGGTCTTAATAATACAAACTTTTGGTTTTTATTCTTACCATTGATTTATTTATAAAGTGTATGTTGTGTAATCCTTGCAGGAAACGTGTCCCTGATCACCACCCTTGTTAAGCATTCCTATATGCTGTTATGCTCTGGACCAGTTCATAGCAAAGTTTGAAAGACTTCAACTTCGTAAAGAAGACTGTGGAATCGAAGTTGATCTGTGGTTCTTATATACTTAAATTTAGACATTTAGCTGACCTTTTACGTCAACAGGGGTCTAACTTATTTGCTGTTTATTCTCCATAAAATTCAGTTGTTTTAAAAGTACATTTCTCATACTGTACATCAAAATAAAAAATGAGTAATTACTTATGTCTTACCTTTTTTAGTGATTTGTTACTTGTAACTTGATGGATATGAATGATTTTATTAGTATAGAGTTGTTTTCAACTTAACTACTGATTGACCTTAAACATTAATGAAATAATTACCTTGGGTAATTTAAGTCCAAGTCAAATGTGATACACATGCACTAATTTTTTGGTTCTCAGTTATACATAACCTTTATTAACCACTTATTTTTGTTTAGTGAAAATACCTAGTCTTCTGTACTCATTTAATTTTGTTTAGCCTAAGCTCTCTTATGTAGGAAAATTTATGATTTCCGTTACTTCAACTAGGAAAGAGTCAGAAACTCAACTAGAAAAATATATATATTTTTATTGATGTCAGAGAGCGGTGGGGGGAGAGAAACATTATTGATGAGAGAGTCGTCTGTTGGCTGTCTCCTGCACACCCACACTGGGGATCAAGCTCGGGAACCTTGAAGCCCTTACAGATTTTTATTGTCATGGCCCTAGAATACACCCAAGTTAGCAAAATCTAAAAATACATTTATTGATTTTTACAGAGAGGGGTAGAAAGTTAGAAACATCAATCAACTGCCTCCTGCACAACCCCTACTGGGGATCAAGCCCTTGGCCAGAATCAAACCTGGGACCCTTGAGTCTGCATGCTGAAGCTCTATCCACTGAGCCAGACCCATTGGAGCCTCAGTTAACGAGGTGACATTCTAACCTGGGTCCTTCCAATTTGTGTGAGTTTTAGAATAGAGTTTCTGTTAACTCAAAAACAAAATATGGGAACAGTGATCTTTATTTTCACAAGACTTTTGTAACATGGAAATAAAGATTTGGAATGTACAATAATCACTGCATAGAGATCAACCTAAGGACTTGTGTGCATACAAATGGGCCTAGCCAGTGGCCATGGACAACAGGGGTTGGGGGGGGTGGGTAGGGAGGCATATGTAAGGAGGGGTTTGGGATGGGAATGGGGTTATAAGGACAATTATGTGAGACCATAATCAATAAATTAAAAAAAATAAAATGTACTTTGGTGAAATTAAAAAAAAAAAATCACTGCATAGAAAATTGTCTAAATGCTCAAGATTTTAAAATCTATTCTAGTAGCCTTCAGGGTTTTATTTGCAGGAGAATGTGTGCTGCTTGTTTTCTTTTGAGCTCTCCTCAAGCCAGGGTCCATTCTTGGCCTGCTTGGACGCCATGGGGCTTTCCCTGGATGACTGCTTCACAATTTTCTGTGGGCTGGTTTCCTGTGACTTAACTCAGGAGGCAATGGCAGGAGAAGGAATCACTATTTTCCTCCTGTTCTTACTCTTTGTTTCTGGAAGGGGCAGCATCTCTGTGGGAGGTACCAGTAATTGCTTCACAGGGCAGCTCTCTTAATGGCTCTCAGCTCTTACTGGATTTGGGTAACATTTCTGTTCCCTTTTCAGTTAGACATACCGGTCATGACAGCTGCTGCTGTTGCTCTTGTTTCTGTGTATCAGTATTATAGTATTACCACCTCAGAATTGATTTTTCCCTCCCTTAACCCTACTCAGTAATAGTTCTGTATTAAAGTCTTCCCCATGTAAACCATATGTGGGGGGAATGAATTTTTTTGCCAGGACCCTGACTGATAAAAGTTAACAATACTCTTTGTATAGAATTATTTTCTAAAGTCTGTCTTGTCTTGTATCTAGTCTAGTGTACAGGACATTCATAGAACAGAAGTATAAAATTAGAATTCCTGCCCTGGCCAGTTTGGCTTAGTGGATAGAATGTTTATCCCGGGTTCGATTTTGGTCAAGGGCACATGCCTGGGTTGCAGTCTGGATTCCCAGTGCGGGGGCCATGCAGGAGGCATCTCATCATTCATGTTTCTTCCTTCTCTGAAATCAATACAAATATATTCAAAAATAAAATTAGAATTACTATAGAACATTACAGCTTTTCAATATGAAGAATAAGACAAACCTGATATAACAACTTAAATTGTGATCTATACAGTACATAGGGGTATTAAAAAAGGCTATATGAATTGACTTATCCAAGACCAGAGGATCGTACATACCGTGCCTGATAATACCTCCAAAATTCAGGTAACTGGGTAGAATTATACTAGGCATTGGAGATTCACAGATAATATCACTTGTTTCCTGTTCAGAGGTAGTCCAGGAAGGAAAAACATAAACTTAATTGTTTTTTAATACTGTTAATACCCTTACTATGGTAAGGTTATAAAGGTGTATGCATGTTTTTTTAATAGCGATAAAGGCCAGAGAGTCAAGTGTCTAGCACAGTGTTTCCCAAAGTGTGGTACGCGTACCCCCAGGGGTACGGGAAGAGTTTGGTGGGGGTACGGGTTGCATTGGAGTTTGGTGGGGTTATGCACTGTACCGTGCTTAGCTGCGCCTAATTCTACGTTCTCATGAGTACGAGGGGTACTCAGCGTTACGAAAATAATAAAGAGTACACATATGTCAAAAGTTTGGGAAACACTAGCAGATACCCATGTCTTTAGTCCGAGGCCTCCTGCCCCTCAAGACACATAGGGTGTGTCTTAGTGCCAAGGAATAGCCTAATGTTTTCAAGTACAGTAGTTCCTCATATGCTCTTCAATTTTTCATTATGTTGATAAGATGCTGTAGGAACTTAACTCCTGTTTATATCAGCCTGTGGTAAAATTGGTTTTGTTATATGTCCTTTTGCTTAAAGTTGTAGAACCTCTTGATGTTATGTGAGGACTTACTATGCTTTGGTGATACTACTGATTCTAGAATAAATAGGGAAAGGGCAAAGTATATTCATTTAGAAATTTAAAAGTGAAGTCTTTGGTAATTACATCTCTGTTTTCCTATTTAGATAAGCCAGAAGCATTTGACCACATGGCAGTTATATTTTTCATATTCAAGACTACAGATACTGTTGTCGAAATGTTATTGAAAAAACAGCTTTTTTCCTATGGCATTTATATATATTTTTTTCTTCAAGGAACTATACTAATAGTAGTAGTATGCTGCATCGCATAAGAATGTAGTATGTAAACATCAACTGTCGCCTGCCAGGCACTTTTCTGTGCATTTTATACCCAGTAATTAGTTTAATCCTGGTAGTACCTGAATGGTAGGAAATTAACCATTTACTGATGAGAAAACTGAGGTACACGATGGTAACTGACCAGTAAATGGCAAACATAAGATTTGGCCTTAGGTAGTGTGAAGGCCATGCTCTTAATCATCGTAACCACACTGCGCGTTTAGTTAAAATGTGAGTCTAGATGACTGTTAGGCCACAAGCCCACTTTCTAAATGTGAAATTCATGATGTTACATTTTAGGATAAAAAAAATTTTTTTGGCTCATTTCCTCAGAATGCATATTAAAAGATTGTGGTTGGCATCACTCGTATTTATGGAAGCTAAAATTCTATACAAACTTCTGGAAGAGATTTTCCTCTGATGCATAACACTTTAAGGTTCAGGACTTTTAAAATCATAAGTAAAGTTACATTTGGTGCTTCAACATTTTCTGCTCTTTAACTTTCTAATTGTCAGCATTTCAAGAGAGTAATGGAAATAGTATGCATTTACATAGTTAATCATTAAAAATTGGTGGAAACCTTGCAGTGGAAACATTTTGTACAGCAAAATCAGTGGTGATTTCTTAATCATATTGTTTGAGAAATGTCTATTATGTATTATTTTTTAAAAAAGGTTTATGTGAAATGTTTATAATTTAACATTTGATATTTAACATTTGATTCAGACTGGGTAGCTCATTATTTGTCTTGTGGCTTATAACCACAGGTCTTGGGGCTCCTGGAAAGGTGAGCTGTTAATCTTGGGAGGGGAAGACAGGGACAAAAGAAACTCAAAGCCAAAACAATGTCAACCTGTACACCAAAAGGTTTTGGGTTTGATTCTTGGTCAGCTCAAGTAAGAGAAAGCCAATGGATGTTTCTCTCTAAAAAAAACATCCTTCAGGTGAGCATTAAAGAAAGTCCAACCTGGCTGGTGTAGCTCAGTGATTGACGTGAACCTATGGCCCATGACAGTTTGAATCCCGGTCAAGGCATATGCCCAGGTTTCAGGCTTGTTCACAGTAGGGGATGGGTTGTATAGGAGGTGACTGATGGATGATTCTCATCATTGATGTTCCTAACTTCCTCTCCCTTTCTCTGAAATCAATAAAATCATATTTTTAAAAAGTCGGAACTTTCATCATAAGGCTGCCTGTTGGCAAAAAGTTTCTAGCATGGACAGTATAGTTTAGTTTCAATCATTAGGAATGAGTAAATAGACTATAAATACTATCTGTCTAATAGAAATCTGGCCTCACTACTAAAGGACCTATTACATTTAATGATTAAAGTTTAATCAGTGGGTTACAAGTACTCTTACAGACTGGGAGTGGTGATAGGAAGACTGTGATATGAAACTTCGTCTGGCTTACCAAGAAATACCTGTGGTAGGAAAAATGAAAATAGTCTGCTGTGTAGTCACTTGAGAACCAAACTTTGATGAGTTAAGAAGACATTTTTAGTGTCCTTGATTGATGAAAAAGTTTAAAGGATTTCTATCATTTTTTTTACATAAAGAATTGTGTTATCAAATCACCCACTGATAGCAGTTTCTTTCCCCTCTGCCCCCCAAGTAGCAAAAGAACATTTCACTCTCATAAGCTTTAGTCCAACAGCAAGAAGCGATTAAAATTGAAATACATTACTGTCCAAAACTGAATTCTGTACAAACATTAATAGAACAACTTCCCACTGTTTCAAA